AATGAAAAGTTATTCCACCCTTGTGGCCAGGAGGGTTCCCTTTGAAGAACCCCCCCTCACCGGGCACCCTCTCTGGGTGATGCGATTTACATTCTTCATCTCCCAAACATTGATTCCCTCTGTTCTCTGCCACAATGTTGTGGTTCTTCCCAGTATGCATTGCAATATATATTAAGAATATCCCATTTCTAGGAGACATATGTAATACTTCCAACAGTAAAGAATTTAAAAAGAATGTTCCATTGTTGGTGTGTGTGTTTTTTTAATAGTGTATTTTTCTTTTTATATTTTTATGGATTTCACAGAGGAAGGGAGAGGGCCAGAGAGAAACATCCATGATGAGAGAGAGCCATGGGTGGGCTGCCTCCTGCACAAGCCCCACTTGGGGATCGAGCACACCACCCAGGCGTGTGCCTTGAACGGGAATGGAACCTGATCTCCTGGTTCGTAGGTCGAAGCTCAACCACTGAGCCACACCAGCTGGGCTCAGTCCACTAATGGACTGAATGCGAGGATGGGATGACTCATTTGCTCGGGGCTCTTTTCCTTCCACCGCTTCCCCTCGCTGTGGATGGCAGAGACCCCCTCCCTCCTCGTTCTATGCCAGAAACAGAGGCAGCAGCCTGTGCAATTAATAGGGTTAGAGCCGCTGTTTTTCTCTTCACTCCATGGAGACCCGGGGAAAAGGTCTCTTATCCACCTGCAATCTTATCTCTGGTTCCCAGGTGACCTTTCCAAAGACCAGTGCTTGCGTGCAGGCAGACCAGATGCCTCGTGGATCTGGGCGTTTCAGTCCTGGGGCCTCCTCTGGCCAGCATCCCCCCTTGGGGGATACTGGAGAGGCCGAGGGGCCCAGGCCGGGTCCACCAGCTGTGAAAAAGCAGCCGTCCCTGGCCTCACTTCTTCTTTTCTAGCAAAAAGAAAAAGAAAGAAAGAAAGGGAACCAGGCTGCCAAACAGCTACTCATTGCACAGGAACGTCTCCCAGCCCTGCTGGGTGGCTCTGTGGTGGGACATCGACCTATGGATGAACCAGGAGGTCATGGTCGGATCCCCACCCTGGCTCCGTATTCGGTGTGGGGCGTGCAGGAGGCAGCCCATCGAGGATTCTCTCTCATCATGATGGTCCCCTCTCCCTCTCTCCTTCTCCCTTCCTCTCTGAAATCAATAAAAAAAATATACATTTTTTTTTCTTTTTTTTAAAAAAAGGAATTCTTCCAGGCATATGATAAGGCATTGCTCAATAGTTGGTAAGCACATTCCTAAGAGTGCTCTTTCTCAATCCTCGGGCCTGTCTTTGATCGAGGCTGCAGCCAGCAGCTTATGTGGACAGGAGGGAGCCAGGAGGATTCACATTTCATGCGGGATAGGGCAGGGGGGGTCAGGGGGGACAGGGAGCCTGGGCCTCTGTGCTGGGAGCATGCGCACTGTCCGCTGGAGTCTCTGGGGGCGACTTCCTCCCTTCCCCCTGGTCACTATGGAAACCAGCGCTGGGACAGGGCCTCTCCTAGTCCCCAGCCTGCCAAAAACAAGTCTGTCCACAGCTGTGGGATCTGTTTCACATTACAAAGTTTGAGGCAACCCACCCCCATAACCCGCCCTGCCCCAGAAGATTTCATTACAATGTCTCCATGTCCTTCCTGCACCCCTAGAGCTCGGTGGACAAAAATCTCCATGGAAGAGAGTCACCCCCTTTTCCTTGAGTTTGACTGGCAGGTGTGTTGTGTGTGTGTGGGTGTGTGTGTGTGTGTGTGTGTGTGTGTGTGTGTGTTGCAAACTCCAGGCTCTTTCGTATTACTTAAGCCGTTGGCCCCTGAGATGACTTATTTTCCATATCGAATCGGGAGGACCTGGGAGAACCCAGCCAGCCCAATGGATCGCTGGAGCTCCAGACCCCAAACTTGACCTTGAATTAAACAAGTCCTAGAAGGCCCTGGGGGTGGTGGGGGTGGAGAGGCTCCATGTTAGAGCGTGGCCCAGAGATCTCATAGTGGTCCCAACGCTCAGGCCCTGGCACAAGGGAGGAGGGAAGTGAGCTGTCCTGGAGGTGGGGGGTCTACAGGTGACCATGAATGACCGCACCAGAAGGGGGTGAAGTTCAGCTCACAGGGCAACGAGAACCCAAGCAGCCTTCTGGCCAGAGCTCTGATATCTCACAGCAGCCGGAGCTTTTATAACTTTATCGTTGTTTTTATAAGTCGATTGATTTTTTTTTTTTTAATACACAATGGTGTTCACGCTTTCACAATGGCTGTTCCCAAGTCTGAAGTGCAATGTCATGAATCCATTAACTCCGGGCAGGAAAAATAGGAGGATGCAATTTTAATAACCTTTCAATGGCAAAAGTGATGTGGCCCACGCTGAGCTGAGATTTAAGTAACTGGCTCAAACATTTTCATTAGTGAGGAGGGAAAACTATCTTCAATGGACTAACTAGTTTGCCTGAATCATTAGGAAGTAATAAATATCCAAGAGAACAGAAGAAAAAGAAAGGAAATGAATGGATATAAAGTGCAAAAAATGAGGATGATCTTGAAGAAGCATGTGGGCAATGCGCTGGTGTTGAGCCCTTCTTAAATAATAAAAAATGACAGAGCTGAAAGCACTCTGTGTCAGATGGACTGAGAGAAATAGAAATCTACAAATTAAAGAAGAACATGAAAGATGGGAACAACCCAACTAGAACATATCTGAAAGATATGTAGGAATTCACCTTGTGAAGGGAAATGTTAGGAAACCCTATCAGAGGGACAGGGTGGGGATGATCCCCCCCTCAAAGTGATTCAAGCAGGAAAATCCAAAGAGAGAGAAACAGCGTGGAAAATCCAAGTCAACCTACTCAAGAAAAAAATATATAGAGAGAGAAATGAGAAATGGGATACTAGAAATGCCCAGATAATATTGGATTTCATAAGCTTTGGGTTTCAAGGGACAATAACCAGACACAAGATACATCTTTTATTTTCCTTTTTTTTTTTTCTTTCCTTGTTTGGGTGGCATATTTGATTTTTTTTTATTTATTTTTTTTTTTTTGAGAGAGAGAGAGAGGGGGGAAGGGAGAGGTATATATAGAGAGAAACATCATCGATTGTTGGGGGGAGGTTTCAGCTTTGTTTTGCCCATTGCACACTTGTTTTTATAAAATACCCCCCCCCCCCCAAAAAAGAAAAGAAATTAGAAAACCCAGCCACCAATATGTTGCCTCTCTTGCTCATCATGTGAGGGAGAAGGTCAGATACCTATGCTACCAGGTTTGAAAACAAGTTCCGGGCGTGCCTGGCAAGTTGGGACCAGCCAGGCCCTGGGGGCAGGTGGAGGTGACATTTCCCGGGGAACTCGGAGCTGAGGTTGCAGGCAGCAGTCGTCAGCGGAGGAAGGAAGGGTGCTGGGCAAAACGTGGGGGTGGGGGGCAGATATCATATAAATTTCGGGGAGTAAACACGGCGATCTTGGAAGGATGGGCATTTTCATGGGGGAAAAAAATCAAATCAAATCAAATCAAATCAAAATGATCCCAGGGACGTGGAAAACAAAAATCAATGGCTGGTCCCCTGGCTGGGGTGCTCAGTGGTTAGCGTGCAGGACTAAGGGTCCCGGGTTCTCCCTTCTGGTCGAGGACACATACCGGGGTTGCAGGTTCTAGGTCAGGTGCATGCTGGGAGGTAACCCATCCATGGGCCTCTCTCTCTCCGTCTCTCTCCACCCACCCTTCCAACTCTCTCTAAAAATCAAGGGGGAAAATATCGCCAGGTGAGGATTCAAACAAACCAATCAGAAATAAACATATAAATACCTATTAAAACACACACACACACACACACACACACACACACACACACACAAATGTAGGGTTAAATAAAATACGTTAAAAAATAAAGAAAACCCATGACTATTCACACACTACCAAGGCCACCCCGGGGGAAGTCCCATGGGCCCATGGGGATTGACGACATTCGGCTATTTCTTTCTTTATTATTATTATTTTTATTGGTTACTTGATGGGAGAGGGAGACAGGGGGAGATTCACAGTTTGCACGTATTTTTACATCGCATGCTGGATTCGCGCGTGGGACCTGGGCCCTGGGATCTGGGCTCGAACCCGCAACCATGGCGCGGCCGGATGGGAGGGTGGGGGTGGAGGGCTGCCTTTTTGTGTGTGTGTGTGTGTGTGTTTTTCATTCTTTCCCTCTTTCTGCATGTCTCCATCCTGTCACCCCTCTGCTCTGGGGGAGCCTCAACGGGGTGGGCCTGGCCTCTGGGTCCCATGTCGGACCGACCGACCGACCGACTGACCACCAACACGTCATCAAGGAGACACCCCTTTCCTCAACGTCCCCTCGCACCCCCCACTCGGACACCCGGGCCTGGGTCCCTCTGGGGCAGGACTCCTCTCTGAGGTGATTTTGCGTCAAATGACGGACATTTCTCCTCAGAACCACACTTTTTCCCTCAGAAATGCGCTCCCCTCGCACCTCAGCCATCATCGTCGTCGTCGTCGTCGTCCGGGGAACACCTTACCTCGTCCCTGTCCAACTCCGGGGGGGGGGGGCCTCCGCTCAGCCTTCGCCCTCCCTGTCTCCCCGCGGCCCGCTGCGGGCACGCGGGACGGATAACTTGGGGTTCCATGCCAGTGGGGGGGCGGGTCTGGGCCGTCTTGGCGGTGATGGTGGTGAAGGGGGGCGCGCCTCGCCACGTTCCCGCCCCGTCGAGCGCGCGCCGCCACGCCACGCCACGCCCCCCTCCGCAGCTGGAGAGGGGTGCGCGCGCGGGCTCGCGGCCGCGCATGCGCAACTGTCCGATCAGTCCGAGCTCCCGCCCCGTCGGGCGCCGGGCCACGCCCACCTCCGGCGCCGGGCCACGCCCACCTCCGGCAGCGGAACGGCCAGGCCGGCGGCCGCGCATGCGCAGTGCCCCCGTTCCGTCCGAGCTCCCGCCCCGACGGGCGCCGGGCCACGCCCCCCTCCCGGCAGCTGGAAGGGAGCGGCCTGGGCTCGCGCGGACGGACGCGGACGCGCGTGCGCGCCCGGGGCCTCCCTCCCGGCCCCGCCCCCGGCCCGCCCGCCGCTACGGAAGGCGCCGCGCGCCCAGCGACGCGCACTTCCTCTCCAGACGCCCGTCTGCGAAGGGAGAGCCGAGGGCACGCTCGACGGGAGCAAGCCGCCGCCGCTTTGCTGGACGCTGGCCGGACGCGGAGGCCCCGCTGCCGCCTTGTCTCCGGGAGCAGGCATGTCCGAAGCAAGTAAGCTGGGGTGCGACCCCATGGAGGCCGCCGCCGCCGAGGGCGAGGCGCACGGCGCCCCCGCGAGTCCCGGGGGTCCCTCCGAGGCCGCGTCCACGTCCGAGGCCGCGGGGCCCGACAGCCGCCCGCTAGGCCCCGGCGACGCCCCGGCTGCCTCGCCACCGCCGCCGCCGCCCGCCGCCGCCGCCGCCGCCGAGGCCGGGGGCGACGAAGAAGACCCGAAGGCCCCGCTGCAGGCCGCCGCCGCCGCCGCCGCCGCGGCCGCCCAGGCCCAGCCGGCCCCGCGCGCCGGCCCCGCCGCCGCGGGCCCCGCCGCCGCCGCGCCGCCCACCGCGGCGCAGCTGGTGCAGAAGGCGCACGAGCTGATGTGGTACGTGCTGGCCCGCCAGCAGCGGCGCGCGGCGCTCTGGTTCCCGGACATGGTGCGCGACGTGCTGAGCGGCGGCTACAAGAAGTGGTGCCGCAGCATCCTGCGCCGCACCAGCCTGCTGCTGGCGCGCGTCTTCGGCCTGCACCTGCGCCTGGCCAGCCTGCACACGCTCGAGTTCTCGCTGGTCCGCGCGCTGGAGCCCGCCGAGCTGGAGCGGGTGGCGCTGGGCGCCGCGGCCGGCGGCGGCCCCGGGGGCGCCGGGGGCCGCATGCCCATGATGGGCCTGCTGCTCATGGTCCTCGGCCTCATCTACGTCAAGGGCCGCGGCGCCCGCGAGAGCGCCGTGTGGAACGTGCTGCGCATCCTCGGCCTGCGCCCCTGGAAGAAGCATCCCACCTTCGGCGACGTGCGCCGCCTGCTCACCGAGGAGCTCGTGCAGCAGCGCTACCTCAAGTACCAGCGCGTGCCGGGCGCCGAGCCCCCCGAGTACGAGTTCCTGTGGGGCCCCCGCGCCGCCCGCGAGATCACCAAGCTGCAGATCATGGAGTACCTGGCGCGCGTCTTCAAGAAGGACCCCCAGGCCTGGCCCACCCGCTACCGGGAGGCCCTGCAGGAGGCCCGGGCCCGGCGCGCGGCCGCGCCCCCGACTCCCTGCCCCCGCAACAGCTTCTCCGAGGACTAGCTCGGCTGGCTGCTAGCTCGCTTGCTAGCTGCTAGCTGGGTCCTCGGAGCGAGGCAGGCAGGGAAGGAAGGGGGGGAGTCCTCCTCTCTCTCTCTCTGTCTCTCTCTCCCCGGGTGTTTAACCCTCTCTCACCAGGCTGGTGGGAGGGGGGATGAGGGAAGAGATCTGTGTAGAGTCTGGATAGAGGGTTTTGCAGCAGCAGCAGCAGCAGTCTTTCAGCAGCTGTGAACAGGTTTTAAGTTTTTGGTTTTTTTTTTCCCCCAGCTCCTGTGCTTTAAGATACCACCTTTGAGGAATGCCATCTTTGTATCTTGTTTTTCAGCCCTCTTTCGGAGAAGGTAGTGGGTAGGAGGTTCCGACACCCCCCCCCCCCCCCCCCCGCATGTCTTGTTTTCTAAGGAACCTCTCTCTCTCTTGTTGGGTGCTTTTGGCTTTCTGTTGCTGCCTTTCTTGAATTTCCCCCCCCCCCACCCTTCACCCCCCACCTTTTGTACCAGAGATGTGCTAAAAAAAACAACAAAAAACACACAAACAACAGCCCACACGTGAAGCGTTCCATCATAATTCTCTTTCTATGGGACGAAGGACGTTGTGTAACATCGGAGTGGTGGACTGTGCCCCAGGCGAGTGGGGATGGGCGAGAAGGACTCCACCGGGAAAAAAGAAGAAAGAAGAAGAAGCTGGCCTTCGGGAAGACAAGGTTCGAGGAATAAGTGAAGGTTCCCTCCCCTCCGGCTGGTGGCCTCGCCGTGGGCACAGGCTTGGCGTGGACTTGGACTTGGACTGGTCTCATCCGTGTGGGCACTTGGCACCGTTGTTTGCTGAAACCCGAGTTACAACCCCCCCCCCTTCCCCTTGCCCCTCACCATCCCTGAGTTAAACTTAAAAAAAAAAAATGCACACAGTAAAGTTCTTGTGATAAACGATCATTTCTGGAGTGAATTGTGCTTTTTTTTAATCTTTTCCACTGCTGCCTGCATGGGGTGGGGCGGTTTGGGGGGGAAATAGGGGGCGGTTCGGGGGGAAATGGGGGACATTTACGAGGGGGAGCAGAGGACAGCTGTTTCCGTGGGGGTGGGACAGCCAGGACTCCTGCTTTCTCATGAACAGGGTGGTGGACTTTTATAGTTCGGGGTTTTTTTTAACGCACAAAGGTATAGAGGAAGCACACGTGCCCATCATCCTGGCTCAGAGAAGTCGCAGTGATTAACAAGCAGGATCATTTCCCCTTCTTGTGGTCGCTGAAGCAGCACTTCTTTTTTTTAACTTAACCCTCGCAGCAGCCTTTGGCAGGGGAGGGGGGAGGGAGGTCAGGAACAAAGCCCAGCCTTGAACTTGCCCGAGATCATCAAGTTTTAACGAGAGGAGGGGCCGGGATTTGAACCCACACAGGAGGGGCCCAGAGCCTCCACGTTTCCCTACCACGGCCCCCTTCCCCGTCCCCTTCAGCGTACTGATTTAAAAAGTTCCACGCTAGAGCCTCTCTTCTTAGTTCCCTGCCTCACATGCGTGTGTGTGTGTGTGTGTGTGTGTGTACACATACGCACACACGGCTAAGGGACCCCCCCATGAGTCTTTCTGAGAAAGCAGTCTTACTCGGGGTGTACAAATGAAGAAACCTGGTTTCAGAGGGATTAATGGGCCCGATCAAGTCACACCCGGGGCTTAGCTGTGGAGCCAAGATTTGAAACGTGGCCCTCCCTGGAAGGGCTGCAGCGAAGGAGCCAGAGCGCACACCCCCGGGACTTCCCGGGGGGAGTGGGGTGGGAGGTGGGGAGGGGTGGCGTCGGGTGGGACGGCTGCCTGTTCGGCTGCCTGTTCGGACAGCTGTGGCTCAGCGGTTCCTGAATTGCAAAGCGCCCCCAGGGAGTCCTCCTTGGAGGGTGGCATGGGGTGAGAGTGAGGGTGGGGTGTGGGGTGCGGGGTGGGAGAGAAACCCGGGAAGATCTCATCTTGGGAGCGGGTGGGGGAGAGAGAAACGGGCCTTGAGGGAGACCAGAAACCCTTCACCCTTCAGGAGGCTGGAAAAGGCCGTGTAAGAAGCGTACAGCCACAACCACTGTGTGTGTGTGTGTGTGTGTGTGTGTGTGTGTGTGGCAGGGGGACAGTCACCGCCCGTACACGTGTGAAGTTTGTATTTTTATTTAAGTGCCTCTCGCGTGCTCCACGCCTGGACCCACATAGAAAAGGTGTAAATAAACCACAAATGCTCATACTCACATACAGTCCATAGAAGCAGCAGCTGGTCAAAGCCGTTTTGGGGTTTGGGGGCGGGGGGGGGGGGAGAGACATAGACAATGAGAGGAGTGCATCGCCCCTAAAAAGACTCAACAGGAAGTTCTATTGGGGTGAAGGGGTTTTCTATCCTCACCCTGCTTAGGAGCGAGGCTTCCCAACGCTTCGTGGCAAATACCCAGCAGGAGGGCGGGTGCAGGGGCTGAAGGTGGACTTCCCGGGGTGGAGGGGCGCACGTTTCGGCAGAAACTCCAGCAGCAGTGACCCGGCGTGGATGCCCCCTCTCACCCAGAGCCCAGGGGAGCACGTAGGAATGTTAGGATTGTGACGAGTGTTTTTACCCGGCCCGGCCAGTGTGGCTCAGTGGTTAGGCACCAAGCCATTGAACCAGGAGGTCCCCGTCCAATTCCCAGCAGGGCATGTGCCCAAGCGGCGGGCTCCCTCCCTCCCTGATTCTCTCTCATCGTGGATGTTTCTAACTCTCCCTCTTCCTTCCTCTCTGAAATCAATTTAAAAAATTATATATATTATAAAACATTAAAATATATATATATATAAATGTTTTACCTAGCCCTGACTAGTTTGGCTCAGTGGATAGAGCGTCAGCCTGCGGACGGAAGGGTCCCGGGTTCGATTCTGGCCAAGGGCATGGACCTTGGTTGTAGGCACATCCCCAGTGGGGGGGGGGGGGGGTGTGCAGGAGACAGCTGGTGGATGTTTCTAACACTCTATCCTTCTCCCTTCCTCTCTGTAAAAAATCAATTAAAATATATATATTTAAAATAAAAAATAAAAAGGTTTACCTAACACCCACCCCAATAAATAAATAAATAAACTTCCAAAGACTCAAAAACCATCGCTCCTTGGAATGTGAAATGACAGCGCCATGCAGGCGGCTCTGTGCCTGGGGCAGGACCAGGGCTGAGCCTCCCTCCCCGGGGGCATGCTGGCCGTGCTGTCCAATGCCCGCATCCTGGGTTCCTCAAACCCAGGCCCTGCCGGACAGGCCCCTCCACTCCCCCTCAGAGCCCCCCGTCTGGGCTCCTGCTCGTCTGTGCCACGCGGGGGGGGGGGGGGGGGGGGGGCGGGCGGGTGCGAACCCCACAGCTGCCCCAGCTCCTGGGCACGGGGCTGGGAGCCGCCCCACAGGGCACAGACCCTCCGGGGAAAGACGGGCTCCTGAGAACCGAGGAGCTGACCCCAGGAGGGCGCACGGGCAGGCCTGCTCGGCTCCTGTCTTCGGCGGCAGCGGCGAGAGGCTCCTCAGGTGCATGGCTGACTTCCTTTCTGATCCCTGGTCCTGCAGGGTCAGCAGCTTGGGGCTCAGGAAAAAGAACAGTCAACAGTATGTCTGATTTTTTTTTCCCCCTTCTTCTTCCTCTTCCTCTTTTTCTCCTCTCCCTCCTCTCCCTCCTCCTTCTCCTCCTCCTCCTTCTCCTCCTCCTCCTCCTCTCCCTCCTCCTCCTCCTCCTCCTCCTCCTCCTCCTCCTCCTCCTCTTCCTTCTCCTCCTCCTCCTCCTCTTCCTCCTCCTCCTCTTTTTGGTCAGATTTTCACTCAAGGCTCCATTCAAAGGTTGGAGGGTTTTTGGCAAATTATTTCCCAAACGGTGGTGCTCTGCGTAGCTATGAGTTCTTTGTTTTACACATCCTCACCGGAGGATATTTTTTTTCCATTGCTTTTGTAGAGAGAGTGGAAAGGACGGAGGGAGGAAGGGAGAGAGAGGGAGATGGGGAGGGAGGAAAGGAGAGAGAAACATGGTCCACAAGTGCTCCCTCCTCCGCCCCCAAGTGCCCTGACTTGAGGCGAGGGGATCAAACCTGCAACCCAGGCGTGTGCCCTTGACCGGGAATCAAACCCACGGCCCTTCGTTCGGTGCCTGGGCCAAACGCTCTAACCACTGGGCCGCCCCGGCCGGGGCCTATGTGTTGGTTTCTCAGTTCCATTCAGAAGTGAGATGATACCCTCTCCACCTGACGTATTGCGCTGGGCACAGCGCCCTCCTGTTTCGCCCACATGGTCACACGTGGCAAGACATCCCTTTTTTCCGTGACTGAAGTAAAAATAAAAAAATCAAAAATCAAAATTAAAAAATATTTTTTTAAAAAATAAATAACTAAATGACTTTGGTTTCATGTGACGGGGAACGGTGGCGAGGGGGTCGGACCACCAGAGCGTTTTCTGGAAAAAGGTGAAATGGAAGCGAGGACTAAACGGATTGGCGGGGACCGAAGACAGATCAGGCGGGAACATGATCCCGGGCAGAGACAAACAGGCGGGCCCCGGGCCCGAGTTACAATAATTAAGGGGACGTGCGGGCTCCCTCCTCGGCAGCGGGGAGGGTCGGGCTGGCCAGCCCCAGAAACACCCAACCGCTTTTTATTTTTCCCCTGAGAAAGTGCAGGGCTGCATATTTGCTTTATCAGCCTCTGGGCCGCATTCCGCCCCCTGGGCCCTCAGGAAAGGGCCTGCTTGCACTTTCCTTTCCCAGCTTCCTTTTTGCTGTTATTGTGTTTAAAAAAAAAAAAATTCATTTCATTTTTACAATATATTTTTTATTGATTTCGGAGAGGAAGGGAGAGGGAGAGATGGGGAGAGAGAATCGTGGGGCGGCCGCCTCCTGCACACTCCCCCTCCTGGGGATCCAGCCTGCAACCCCCCGGGCATGGGCCCCTGACCAGGAATCTACATCGAACCCAGGACCTGCCCTACGTCCTTTTATATCAAATGCACACACAGCAAGGACAGAAAACACAGGGTGGCTCAGTGGTTGGTGTGGGCCTGTGAACCAGGAGGAGGCCATGGTTCTATTTCCAGTTCAGAGCAGATGCCCAGGTGGTGGGCTCGATCCCCAGTAGGGGGCATGCAGGAGGCAACCGAGACATGATTCTCTCATCACTGATGTTTCTCCCTCTCTCTCTCTCTCCCTCTCTCTCTCTCTCTCTCTCTCTCTCTGTCTCTCTCTGTCTCTCTCTCTCTGTCTCTCTCTCTCCCCCTTCCTCTCTGGAATTAATAAAATATATTTATATTTAACAAACAAACAAACATAAAAACACAGGAGCGACCTCAGGGGCCAGGGCAGCTCACCAGGGTCGAGTCACACGTAGTTCACCTGTTGGAAACGGCGAGAAGGCACTTCCTCCAAACCTGAATAGGATTGTCAGCTGCCCAGACAGCTCAGGGTGTCTTATTGCCTCCTGTTGGCCAAACACCTGAACAGCTGTGGGCTATTGCCCAAAGTGGCAGTACCCTTCGATACCTTACCCTTTGGAGTACAGAGCTCCAACTTGTCTTGGGACAAACTGTGTTGGAATAAAAACACGGGGTCCTTGGACAAGGAGGGTCTTCCGATCCCGTTAGCTGAAGATCCTCTGACACCCCCCCCCCAATGCCTTTCAAAACTATCCTTCGTCTTTGGACTCCTTCTTGAGTCTACTCATCAGCTCC